TTTTATTGGTTTTCAATTGCATTGGAAACTGAAATGTTACCAATTGTTCTCAACGAGCTATCGCAAGTTATAGATTTTTATCAATACTCATTCGGTTGTTACAAATCTTTTTTATTCCAGTATTGTAAAATTTTCTTTTTGTATGCTTCTGGTTTTCTATATCATGTTGGTATACCGATGAGTAATGTAATAGGCATATCCATATCACCTTATCTATTAGCATTTTTAATTAATCTTTATCGGCGTTAGTAATAGATGCCTATGTATTACTTTCTTATTGCCATGCAAATCGTTCGCATGATAATATTGTTTGCTATTATCTATTTATACCACTACTACGCAATTACATAGTGCCCCAAAGTCTCAATGTAGATTATCTGGTTTCCTTTAACCGTTTCCTTCTTTTTTTAATCTTTTATCGAACCCATTCAAAAAGATTAAATGTTAAATTCCTTTTAGGATTAATCCAGTAATTCAGACGACGATTTTGAAATAAGATATCACATGCCAAACTTTATGGAATCTTCCGATTAGCAGTTATTTCTAAACACAACGAAAATTTATAACAGTAGATGCTCTGTTCCTAATAATCTGTATAAATCTGTAGTCTTAATAAGCGATTTCCATATTTACGACTCACAAGAACACGGAATTCAAATAATTAACTTGATTTCTATAACCAATAAATTACATTAATCCCGCTTTCTGCTAATTACGGAGCCATCGTTATACCAATCGATTAGCTCATTGACATTTGAAAATATACTTTAAGTTATAACTAACAAAGTAAATTTTATTTTTCTAAGAATATCTTTGTCTGTTTCACCGTTTGTGTCGAATATTTGTTCTAAATTATAGACAATGACCATAAAATATTGTAATGATCCGATTATACTTATTTATTGAATAAAAAAACCATCTGTATGGGTTTTATTATCTACTAAACTACATATTTAGAAATAACTGTATACATACCTGCACATGTTTAATGTCAGCAGTACCCTGAGATACCCCCAACCCCCACGTGCCACTGCATCAAAAGCTAACGAGCGACCTTAAAATTATTTCAATTATTTTATAGATTTTTTCTTTCAACCAAATGAATGAGATTAAATAATCACCTTTTAAACTAATGTAAACAAGACATCAAAGAAAAAAACAAGAAAAAAACATGTTTATAACGTCGTTTGACAAATCCTAATTGGCTTAAAATTTTAATTCGTACAGATGTCCATTAATGAATGAACGATTACGTATTTGATTGGCAATAGTTTTTATAGCTATAGATATAGAATTTTGCGATTGACCAATAAATCTGTTTACAGACGGAACCATATATCTATTCATGGACATTAAACTCGATTAGTTTCTTACATCATTATTAGGAGTCTTTTAATTTGACCTGTTTTTTTTTTTATTTTTGTCCGACGTTAATGTGATTAAATAGAATTAAGTGTGATTTATAACTTAATATCTATTAATATGGTAATTGATATTGATTTGTCAATGGAAGAAAACGAAAGTGTCGATTGATTCTCATAATAATAAATCTAAAATATATTGTGGAGTTACAAGCTCAGCTAGCTACTGTTATTATTATCAGTGTGGTCTATTAAATCATTGGTTGGTTCATCATGACTTGCTGTTTATCGAATTTCATCATATTTGGAATGGAATTTATATCAAACATTGCCTGCTTTTAGGTTATTACGGCTTCTTACGACAATCTTATCTGTCATTACCATTATCACTTTCAAATACGTTTTCCAAAAAATTACTGGTAAATAATTTACGGATTACTTACTTAGATATTGTGATCCTTATATTATTTACTGTAGGTACGAGCCTGTATCTCTTTTAAAGTCCAAAAGTTAGTATGTACTTTGGTCTGGCTACAATCGTAAAAACAGGTGTAAATTAAACGATTACACTTGTAAATTGCTACTGTTGTACAGGGCTGGCAGTTAGTTTATTTTGTTTTAGCTGACCTTTGAGTGAATATTTCTTCTTTCAAGTAATATTAAGTTTGCAACAATTGATCAGTTTACAGCCATATTATCCGTCGCTGTCGTTCTACTCATCCCTTACATTGATTTTATTTTTCACAAAAAAGCAGTGTTATTCTAATAAAGAAAGGCGTGTGTGATAAAATGACTAATGATAATGGAAACACTTTCGTACTATCATAGTGTAAGTGCCTAAGTAGATACATAATACATTCACTCAAAGAACAGTAAAACTATATGCGCTACATGAGCGTACTATAATAATAGACAAAACCGCTTATTTTAAACAAAACTAAATTTCGTTTAAGAAGGCATGTTTTAATAATATGAAGGTACAGCCCTATTAAAATATTGGTACTCGATAACATAAATAGATTTCATACAAATGTAATTGTCAATGCACCAACTTGGACATGTAGGTCAAACATGTGTTAAATACCAATGACCATGCAGAAACACCTGTATACGTAAACTTCGATGTGTGAACAAGATATTTTGGGAATTGGACCGTGGTCACCAACTTGTTACCAATATTTGCATACAAATAGATTTGGAGACCAACTTGGGTCTTTATCTGTTCAATTGCTTGCTTCATTGGCCTAATGTTTGTGTACATGATTGTGAATTACGTAGTCTTGTTGATCAAAGTTTGATTTTGTATCTTGGGTTAGTTCTATTAAGGTAATTTTTCACTGTCTAAGGTTACACATAAGTAGTAGTCTTATAAAATGATGTTCCATTTATAATCACATGGGGAAAAATCATTATTGAATGTTCCCAATCTTATTAAGCCAAGACTTACGAAGCAAAGAAATTATCGTCACTGTTAATATTACCCCTTCCCTAAACGAATAGCAACACTGTTCCAAAAACCCAACCAGGAAAGCAAATCCATCAAGAAATGTCAAATAAAATTAATCCTAATGAATTAAAATTGTAAAGTTTATTAGGCGTCGCCCCAATTACTCATTGCATGTGAGATTCGTGGTAAATTTCTTTAGATTGATAGAAATGGGTCAATTTATGTTTACCATGTCCAAATCATGGCGATATTGGTGATACAAAGAGGAAGGAATACGAAAAATAATAATTAAGTAGTTTTATTTCAAGGGATGATCAATCGTGTCTTTAACATGGTGATTTTGTGAAGATAAACTGCCTCGTTGGCCGAGCGGACGCAAGTGCGACTGCCTGGCAAGGGGTCTCGGGTTCGATTCCCGGGTCGGCCAAAGTATTACTGGATTTTAAAAAATCTCAGTAGTAGCACGGAGTCTGGAAATGTGCCCGGTATATGGCAATAGGCTCACTCCCTATTACATGGGACTCATAACATAAATAGTGAAAAATGGGTGTTTGTATTTTATCATTGTTGGCATTAAGTGCCGAAATATGCACCTCTGCCTACCCCTTCGGGGATAAAAAAGGCGTGTTGTTATGTTTTGTTATGTTAAACCTGGTGAGTTCGATTCTAGAATCGCTGTAAGCAATTTGATTGACTTTAGACTTTTAGATAAATTCAATGTGTTTGTAATTATTTTGTTTTGAAAAACACCACTAGAAACATCTACAAACATCGTCAACTCCCGATTCCTATTTCAAAACCACGTAGCATTTTAATTTTCAACTAACAATGTTCAAAATCCAATCCTTTCACCTTTGAACAGAGTCGATATTCTATCGACAGCTCATAGTAGAGGTGTGAAAATAATATTGTAATGCTTCGTAGGAACCGTTGTTTCATAATAATGATACAGTGGACTGAAATTGTGACAGCTGTTGTTAAATATGATGTCTACAAATGCTTGGCATGTGAATTATGCCTTTACAGCGTCTCAAATGTAGTTCTGTCTTGTACTCTCTTTGATATATCATGTTTTGTTGTGTGTTCATTTTGGTGAAGTATTTTCGTAATTATTCTGTAAATGGAACTTGAGTTTTATTCCTTCTCTATCCTTCTTTTTGAACCTTTATTCTAATAGCATTACTTAGCTCAAGAGTAAAGTCAACCTGTTTATTAATTATTTTTTTTACAAAACCATTCTCTTCTTTGTTCTTTTTTGCTTCCAATAAAATTATAATAATATGAGATTTTCAATTTGAATTTGTTATGAAACTGGTTTTTGAAAAAATATAGTTTATAAACTTTGAGAATGAAATGACTTACAGATGACTAACATAACTTATCCAAAAAATTAGTCGCACATCTTTGATAACAAATCATGTCAACAATGATTATAAAACTCATAAAAATGATAGCAAAGATTAAAAATGAACTTAACAGATAAAATTAACGAATTATTAATCATTTCCTAAAACACGGTTCAGGAATTTTATCTAAATATTGAGCATATTAATATGAAGTTATCTGATTATAATATTAACGAATTCTTTTATTACTTATCTCTGCAAAATCTGTAATAATGAATACTGTTTCTTAGTATTCATAATTCGTATATCCGATTCAAAATTCCATAATAGGCTAAAACATAGGTACCTATCTATTGTTAGATATACCTAGTGGGTTTTTCCATTCAATTGTTGTGGCTAAAATTTAATCTTATTAATACTGATATTATAAATATTTTGCTAATATATATCCTCTACCTATTGATATTTTAGACGTAAAACAGGATGTATTTCTTGCCTACTCAACGAAGTCCATTTTCATTACGATAAAGATTTGCTAAATACTAATTAACAAACAGGATGGTAAATAGATTCATACGTCGTTAATAATAACACTGATTAGATTTGTGTTTCCCTTATACAAACGTATGCAGATTTAGTTACTGTTAAGTAATATTTCAATGCCTTTGTTTAAAGTGTGAAGAACTCTCTGTCTTCAGAAATAGGACTAGATTTAATTGGGTAGACGTCTATTTTTTATCTTCATTTGTAAACGTAGCTTTGTACTTAAGTGAAAAGTTATTTATGATGTCGTCCAGTGTGTGTGTTACTCTATTTATATATTAATTTATGTTTACTTTTGCGCAGGTGCTGTGTGGTGCAGTGGCGGACGCGGGCGACATGATAGCCAACGTGAGCCGCGTGCGCCGCGCGCCACAGCCTCACTACTCGCACCGCGTCGTGTAAGTATCACCTTCACCTATTTCATGTTTACCTGGTAACTGCACCGTCTATCCGCAACGTATTTCTAGTTGTCACTTGTATTTGTTTTATTGACTGGAACCAATATTGCCTAGTTAAACATTACAACTGATCTAAATATAGATCTTATGCATCTAGCAAACACTTGACTTCACGACACATCTGAATTCTTATCTATTTATACTGATAGTTCCGTGTTTGATCTTCCAGGACGGACGAGGATTTCGACATGACTGCGGCAGCGGCGTGGAAGCGCTCGCACTGGCGCGACATGCAGTCCATACTCCGACGCGAGGGCAACCAGAAGGAGGGCGTGCAGTGTTGCCCCTCCGTCCTCGAGATGGTCACCAAGAAGGGAGGGCGCACCCCCACCGGTCTCTACGTGGAACTCTACGAGGACGGGGAGAACCAGCAGAGACTGTTCGAGGTGTCGTGTGCCCCCAACGTGGTTGACAAGCCGTGCCGCTTCGTCGACGCGCGACTGTACAACGAATCGAGGTGCATCCAAAAGTACTCATATTCGTACGCTCTCGTGCGATACCTGCACTCAGCCGCGACGGAGACGCCGCAGCCGCGGACCGAGGGCCACTTCTCTGTGCCAGGCTCCGGCGGCTGGTCCATGGACTATGTGCGTGTGCGCGCCGGTTGTGAGTGCCAAATTAAACCCAAAACAAATAAACCCGCCCGCAGAAGACACAAGCAGAGGAAGAGGAATAGGAGAGTGGTGGAAGATGACGAGACCTGATTCTGGGCTCAGTGCTAGTGAATTCGTGACTTTGAACAAATTTGGGATCGTCCCTTAGTATTACGTTTACAAAGATACCTTTTCTGATGTTTTCTCTTCGGTTCGGAACAGTGTCGTGTACAGAACAGCAGCCGAGCTATGACTGTCAGCGCCGCGCTGTGCGCTGCGGATGGTTTCTCGTTACCTACTTCAAGTGCACACTTGAGCGGTACTCTGCTGTCGGTCGATGTATCAATGTATTTATTTTATTTTTCGTCTATATTACGCTTCTTGTTGTAGTCCGTTAGTAATTCTCGATCTTATGAAATTAAAGTGCCTTTTAGTGCCTTAGATTTAAATAGTTCACTATGTGCTGGGAATTGTTGAAATTTTGATTCCAATGCGTTATCTGTATGTTTAGTATTAAATGTAAAGACTAATGTCACACGAATAGTGAAAGATCAATAATCGAAATCTTAGCTATTAGTTGAAAATCATCACAAGTTTAGTAATGTTGACTAATGTTCCCGAGGTGACGTTACTACCATGTCCGACTCTTTAATATTCATACAAAATGATATTCGTGTGACACTCGCTTACAAACTACATGATAATGTAATAGTTACCGGTTGATCGAGGTGCATAGATGTAATACGACTTCACTGCGCTGCCGCTACACTTTCAATTAATTTTAAGTTAAAAAACAACGTTTTGTATGTACCACGTACTACGATCAGCACCAAGAACAGAATGGTCCATGCAATAGTATTTCACTGAGCTTGTATTTCCGAAATTTGGCTATTTCCCAAATAATTTCTCGGGATTGAATTCCAAGCTAGTATTCATCCAGATGTCGGGCATATCAGTATCGTACAGTTTCACAACTCTCTGGCTGGAATAATTCTTTCTTTACGTTTCCAGTAATTCTTTCTTGTCATCCATAGCTCTTTCACTTCTAGCATTTCTAGTTTTAATAAAACTGAACTGTTTCTTCGCTATTTGTATTTAGTTTCCCTTGTGTTTCCCTTGTGTTTCTTCTCCGTTAGTTATTGTATTTGTTTCATCTGCCTAGTCCATAGTACATGGTACATGAATTTCGTTGATAATAACAGTAAAGAGCAGTCTGTGATCACTTCTACACGTTCAATAAGCCGTAGTGGAGTCACAATGATTCTCTTGCGAAACAATGTATTTAATGATAGTGCCTAATATTTCATGATTAAATCAATAAAATAAATTTAAAGAATATTTGTAATAAGTAGTTTGCCTAATATCTTTTCTCTTCTACTCATCCACATTGTTTGGTCTACCATTGAGATAATACCTACATATTTCATTGTCATTAACTTTATCGGCAGCTACTACCTACGTCTTTTAAGTATTTCTAGTATACACTATCATCTTTATTTTTAAAATTGTTCCACGCGCTACTTTTTTCTGCTAATGCCTTTCGGTTTTCGCCAAAGTTTTAGCAGATGGTTGTTTCACATGAGGATCATTGCCAGATAAAGTCGTTCCACTGATTATAATGCTCTCTTCCCTTTTAAAATTAAGGATATTTATTCAAAGTTAACAATTTATAATTTTTTTGTTATTATTTGTAACAGTACTTACTTCTTAAACATAAGTGCGTCGAGTCAAAGATCTGTATTATTTTCTATTTTGTAATACTTTTATTGTATTTAAAAATGTAGTTATATTTTTAAGGATTAATTTCATTCTATTTATACTGTTTAATACGAGGTATTCCGATATACAGTATGAATGCTAGTTTGTACGTAGAAATCGCTTCCATAAAATATAATTGATGTATATAAATAACGCAATAGTATTGTGGACTGAGATTATTTTGTGCATTTAGATGTGTAATAACAGAACGAGAGAATATTTTTATAATAAGATAACGCTATCCATCGACAATAAAATTTTAATATCAACATGCAGCGTCATCTCTTGACGAGTAGTGGCAACCATTTAATTTGTGGGTTAACTGCTAGATGTCGCTGTCTTCATATACCTGTCTAACATTACGCAGAACAGTGCCATGTTTAATTAATTTTAATTAAGTAACTCAATAAAATGATTTATTGGTTTACTGAATAATAAATAGAGATGTTAATGCATGTATATGTATAGTTCTATTACCAGTTGACATTCAATGTACTTACCATCGAGATGCTTACATCAACAAAATTTATGTAATAACGAAATAATAATATCCAAGTGCAATGTGTCATAGTTGGTATACCTGTAAAGTATTTAATTAAGTAATTACAAATCATGCAAACTACTATAACAATGTTATCCATCATCACAACAGCTATACGTTATTTTATTGTTGACATCAAAAACAAAACTTTAAATAAAATAAAAATCTGAAATAGCAAAAATTCTTTTATTGTCGTCTTATATTCGAATAATCCTTATAGGAATCAAATTATTACAATATCTATTTTCCCGGTCGTTTCCTAACCCAGTTAGGGAAGACTCAGAGTCTTATCAATTTCAATTGAATATTATTTATATTATGAATCTTAAACAACTAATTAACTGCTCCTAAAAACATAAGTCTTCATTTATAACGCAACAATTGCAGTACAATTAAGTACTAAACGTCACACATCGCTTATTTAACTTTTGGTCTTGTATAAAAACAATTATTCAGCATCGTGATCTGAAAAGATAGAAAATTGTAGATTAATAAACACATAAACATAACATCCCCGCACTTAATGCCACTGTATAATGTAAGACACACTTTTCAGTATTTATGTTAAGTCCCATGTACTAGGGGGTGAGCCTATTGTCGTATATCTACCGGGCACAATTCCAGACTCCGTGGTACTACTAAGCAATTTTTAAAAACCCAGTAATACTTCGCCCGACCCGGAAATCGAACCCGAGACCCCTTACCCGGTAGTCGCACTTGCGACTACTTGGCCAATGAGGCAGTCGAAATATTAATACAATTGAAAATAATTGCATTAAAATAATAGCATTTAGTTTTGCTATTCGATAACAGATGGCGCTATTGCAAATTGCATTGAAAAATTCTAACACAGTTATTATAATTTAATTACATTTAAAGGTAACGCACCTAAGTATACTGTTGTCAAATACATCAAACCAAAACCAAGTCCAACCGAAAGGAACTGTAATAATCCTGCGCTCCTCTTGCGCTCATGCCAGCGCGCTCTCTCGCGGGGAAGGACTTCACTAACTGTGACGTACAGTAGCGTACCAGCTGCCAAACCCTGTAAATACAAAATTCTGTTACTAGATGGCGCTAATCTTAGTTTTTCACTTTTCCTTAAAATTGTATCTAAACCTCCTAAGAAACATGTTTTATAACCTTCAAAGCATGCAAAATTAATCGAGTCCTTCAAATTATTCTTTTTTACTATAAATAACTGCTATCGTCAATCGCATCGCATTCGTACCTAACTAAATGTTCAAGTTTGCTTATTGTTATTAGTAATGTGAATATACCCACTGTTAATCATATTAGTTATATTTTTCACTACCTCCAAATATTTTTTATAGAATACGAAGAGCCTAAAATTAATTTCTCTCAAAGAATTTTATGTAAAATCCTTCAGATAGCAAATAATAATATGAACATCTTTAAATGAAAATATAAAAATCTTAGAAACAATAAACCACTTTTAAACTATATATTAAAAATTACCTGCATAACTGGCACTGCAATGGATTCCTTCAGTGAGTTGACAGTTTCCAATCCCGCACCTATACCGATTCCAGCAACAGATCCCGCACTGAAGAGTGCGATGCACAGGATATGTGCGCAAGCCCGATTCGGGAAATTCTCACACAGTTCTGCACCCAAACAGAAGCCGACCACGAACTTGTGGGAGCTCACTGCTGCCAGTAGGAGAAGAACCTGGAAATACATAATTAAAAGGTTTTAATTAAATCAGTTTATTCAAACTCTTATCAAGCCCTGATTATTACTATACCTACGAATATTTTTATAGGATAAGGTAAACGAGTAGACGGATCTCCTATTGGTAAGCAATCGGCGACGCCCATGGAGACTAAAAACACCAGAGGCGTTACATGTGCGTTACCGGCCTTTTGGGGATCAGGAATTTGAGGATT